GAATCTACACGGACTGAGGATAATTCATTTTTTCTAGGGTTCAGAGCATGGGGGGTTTTTGAAAAATATAAAATAACTAATTAACCAACTAATGAAACAACTAATAGAAATAAACAGAAATTAATCAATAACCAATATGACTCTAGTCAAATGTGCAACTTTTCAGACACGGTCCATTCAACTGATCATGGATACAAAGATAATTCAATTATTCATTATTAGATTGGTTATAGTTATTATACACGCGATAAACAACCAACCTTTCCTTACTTTTGACCGATAGTTAAGGTACGACCGTTAACTATTTCTCTAACCAAGAAATAACTCTAGGTACGACCGTAGGATTTAATTCCTTGATTGCATTAAGAATTAGAAAAGACCAACTCTAACCAACAAACACGTTACGAGGGTTTGTTTAAATTAGATCATATATTTCCCTAACATGAAACCAATCACGCTAGTCGCCACTGGTATTAATCAATTGAACAATTACGGATTCAATCACTTAATCTGGCAATAGATTATTAGGTTAATTCAAATATCGGGCCCTTGACATTCAAATAACATAACAATCATAAGAAGTTAAATCAGAAAACGTACAAATACCAATGAATAAAAGAAATAAGTAAAATAATTCGATCTCATAGATGTATGGAACCGCGTCTTCAAATTAACCCTTGACTAGAAAAGAAACTTAGTTGCGCATGGCCAATTGAAGCAATTCACACCATTTTTCCAAAGCCAGCGGCATAAGTCTTTGATAAGAGAAATACTAGAGAAAACTAAAGACTCCAAGGAAGAGCCCTATGGCTCCCCTCTTCGTATCCATCATGCAGGATCCGGCCTTCTCTTTTGGTATATGGTCTTGCTGAGCAAATCTTCACCGAACCCCTCCCTGCCAAATCCCTATTTTCTAGTAATAAGTTAACTAATGAATGAATGGTTTCCTATTATCACTCAATCTCTTCCTCACTAATCGGAAATAATGTCCAATACAAATAGGGAAGTTCCAGTACCTATAAAACTCGAAATTTGACTTGGATTGAGAAACTCCCCAATATCAATCCCGACTTTCTGGCCTTGAATGTGGGTTTCAAACGTACCACCATCAAATTAACTGAAAAATTGCCACTTTTAATTACGTTTTGCTCTTTTTTCTACAATTAGCACCATTAATCAAATATAAGTAAAATCCGACTGTTAAAACAATATTTGGCTAAAATCAAGGGAAGAATAATTATAAATTTAGCAACAAATTATGACCTATCAACAGAGATTAACTAAATCTCTTTTTCTAATTAAGGAACAACAGAGGATTTGGTTCAACTTAAATTGTGAGATCGAACTGATTTTACTTTTTCGTATTATTTTATGGTATTCGTATATTTCCTGCCTTATGTTCTTGTGATTGTTGTATTATTCAATTATCTTGAGATTTTAGACTAATTCAATAACCTAAAATCAATTAGAGTAATTAAATCCGTAATTATTTAATTATTTTAAATTAGTGGTAACTGGCATGATTGGATTTGTGTCAGAGAAATATACGGGTTAATTTTAAACAACCCTCGTAGCGTGTTGTTTGGTTAGAACAGGATTTCTCTAATTCGTAAAGCAATTGAAAAATTGAACTCTAAAGTTGTACCTAGGGTTATTTCGCAGTTAGGGTAATAGCTAATGGTCGTACCTTGGCTATCGACAATTTAAAGAGAAATGGACTATCATCGCTTGTTTGACAGTTATAACTTGTTTATCAGTTTATAAGTGGAATTATTATTGCATCGATGATCAATTAGGCGAACCATTTCCAATGTTGTTTCTTGACTAGAGCTTGTCCAATATTATTTGAGTCTTAATAATTTGTCATTTAACTTTTAGCTATTTATTATATTCATGTAGTACAGTTTATTGTCATTTTTATAAAATCTCCCATATCCTGAGTTCTAGAAGAAACTAAGTTCTCTAAATTCCTGTGGATTCGACCCTACTTACCACTAGATACAGAATTTGTATTCCATTTGAGCAGGTATTTATTATTGTATAGGCTCGACGACCTGTGACTGATTCTTGAATTCACGCAGAGCAAGACGATCAGTCTCATTTTGAAAGTGTTTAGAAGCTGAAACATGGCTTACTGAAAAGTCCATGGCAACTAACAGTATTAGAAAAATGTTTGCTAACGTCGATGATTGAAATTCGCACATGGTATTCGGAATTTGAATGAGCCGTGAACACCAAGGTGGATTAATTTGCAACAGCCTGATGATTGAATGATAAAAGTTTCTGTGGATTGGGGACATGTTTGAGCTGTGACAGATTCTTGTAGTTTTGCTTATATTAGCCCAAACCATTGTAACAAATGGGACTTAATTTTCTTGGTATATTTTCGACGAAAATGAACTAAAAACTTTGTTGTCAGAACTTAATACAGAAATGATCAGCAAGCTTCCACCACTTACAATTTACGCATACAGGATAGGATCGTGAATTACGTACTTTTCAATGGGGATTAATCTGAAGTGCCAGTTTCAAGGTTTTCTTAACAAGAGTCGAAAAAGGATGTCTTGTCCCATCTCTTAAATCTTAATGACTGTGGGCCGTTGTTCAGACTTGGTTGTACAAGTAAACTCCTCCGTAGCCGTCCTGCTGTTCCTTGTGATCATCTAACGGAGACGATGATTAACAGGAAGCCTTTCGATGTGTGCAATTCTAATCTTTCCAATTAACACAAACCACAAGATGGATAATAAATGTTGATGCAAGAATCTGTCAGTATTGGTAGCTGGAGTGGACAAATTTAAAAAAAAAAAAAAAAGGTTTTAATGGTGGCAATTGACTTTATAAAGCAGATCACAAATCTAACGCTATCATGGATGTTTATAAAGTTTTGGGGATAAAATTGTGCTAGAATTTTCATGTTAATTAATCATACCCATTTTGTTCGTAGCATGAAGGGTCATATTTTAATTCTTCAAGTCAGTTTCACTGGATTGTTTTCATGCATGATTTTCAATAATCTGCAAATATTCTGCAACTTTACAACATTTTCCTAACTGGCTCTACCATTATATTTGTGCCTCATGCATTTTAAGCATATCAGTGACCGACTTCTACCAATCCTCGTACATTTCACAATCAATACACAGGCAGCCTAACGTTTTTGTGTGAGGCCCGCTGTCAACTAGTTGTTAGTAACTTAGTATTATAATGGAGGTTGTTATCTTAGTTTATTTGTCACCATGACTCAAACGATGTTTTACTTTTGTAGCCTTTACCATTATTGATATTAATTCATATAGCTTACTGTTTGAAATGCAGTAAAATGAAGGGAGGGGCTAAATCCACACCATCTATGTTAAATCCACACCCTATGAATTTATTGGACAACAATGACCTTAGCGTTTAAGTTTATTTGATACTTTTTATAATTTAAAGAAACATATATTTACGTAACAAAAAATAGGAAAAACAAATGTCAGCATTGCAGTAGAGGTTATTTTCAAACATTTTACAAGTGCATAAGAATATCAATTTCTAATTTAATATCAATTTAGCTATCTAGAACTTTTCAATTATTAATAACAACGTAAATAGTAATGTCTATATTTTTCAATTCTACAAAATTAAAAGCTAAACAGATTTCAAGGTGGAATATGCAATATATTGACTTAATACAAACGTCTCCATTTGGTTACACTTGATTATGTGTAAGTGTTAAAAAAAAGTTTAACAAAATAAAGGTGGAAAGTCATAACAGAAAAGAGGAAAAGTATAAAGAAACTCTGGAGCAAAATAAATGTTGAAAAAATAGAAATTTCTATATAAAACTCACAATAAAGATTAAGGAGTGAATATTTTTCCTTTAAGAAAGATATTCCCATACAAAGTTTTGATTTGATGTTTAAAATCTAAGGGCATAAGAGCCTCTTCACATGTATAAGGTGTGGATTTAGTATGGAGGGGTGTGGATTTAGCCCCTCCCTAAAATGATTTGAGTTAATTGAGAAGATAGCAGTCTAGGCTTGTTAACGATCTAAATCATCCAAGACTCGTGATATATTCAGAGAGAGTTGGTATTTTTATTATTTTGTTTTATTTTATTTTGTTGTTCCTTGCATACCCTGACCATGACTTGAACTAGAACAAGGCACTGGATTTTGTTGAAGTAAATTACAGTCTGACAAATACTTTGGGATGGCATTGTCCTTTTTGCTTTGTTCCGGTCCTTCGCCTCCCTTTCGAGTTCAGTCTGCAATCAAAACTGTTAAGAATCTCATTAATGTGCAACAAAGAAATTTCTCTACCAACAATTTTTGAGCAAGCAGAGATGATTCAATTTTCAGGTCCTCCTCCCCTGAAAAAAAGTTAAAATCTTGAAATTAGAGAGACCCTCTTAGACGCTTCTCAAAATTTTGCTAACCCCTCATTTATTCACTTGAGATCCTCGGTGACAAGTTTCCTATGCCAATTCAATGCCACCTCTAGCATTCCGCCAAGTGTCCTATTATTATTTGGGGCTTTAATTTTCTAATAATCCAAATTAGTTTGGTTTAACAAAATTTTCCCTCAACCTCTAAGACTTTGAACCGACCGGTCTAATTTTTCTTCCAATATTTTTGTACAGCAACCACTCAAGATTGGTTGCTTTGGGGAAAATGAAAAAGATAACCCTAAACAAAATTGCCGCACCTTGTCCAATAAGTTGAAAGTTGAAGAAAGGTCTTGAATGTTGTGTCACCATTCCAAAGAGGATCTGACTGCGTTTTCATGCTAATGGCAATTACATTTTCCCCAAAAGAATACCTCCTCCTCTGACTGCGTTTTCATGCTAATGGCAATTACATTTTGTTTCTTGGTGCTATAATGAATAATCTTGTTAGACCGGTCAGTGGGCATCCGGCGGTTTTTCGTTTCACATTTTTTTGTTTTTGGATCAAAAGGTTGGGGGCAGATTTTGAATACCAATAATGTCATCTTGGTCTCTGCAACTATTCTTGCAGAAAGTTTGGTCTGAATTGTAGCAGCGTTCCTTTTCCCTACATCCCCGAGTTAATCTGCATCCCGATCTTCAGATCCTCTGCATTTCCCAGCATTCAGATATCCGTGGAGGCCGAGCAGATGAGGACCAAGAATCTGAGCCTCCCAGGTTGTCGTTTCTCTCAAAATTGGAAGAAAAATTAGACCGGTCAGTTCAAAGTCTTAGAGGTTGAGGGAAAATTTTGTTAAACCAAACCAATTTGGATTATTATAAAATTAAAGCCCCAAATAATAATAGGACACTTGGCGAAATGCTAGAGATGGCATTGAATTGGCATAGGAAACTTGTTACCGAGGATCCCAAGTGTCATTTAGGCCGTCAATATTGGCCAATCTGAATACTCTGAAAATTTCTATACCCGTCGTCCACAATTTATTATTCTTTCGCATCAATAACTAAATGACTTGTCTGTGATAAGTGGGAAGGACCAAAATAACGATGGTGACTTGCCGTTAAGTCTACGTATATCCACTTCACTCAACTACTTGCTACCAAAGACCAAGAAGTTGCTGTTGACTTACTGTTCAAGTCTATAATTGTAAGCTTGCATTTTGGTACACTACATGTCTACGCTGCACGGATTAGAAGACTTCAGTCTGTTGGTGTAAATACTAGGAAGATGGACAAAGAAAGAATAGGTTTCAAATAATAAATTATAATCACTTTCCTTTAGAGTATATTTGTCCATTATTAATGTGTCCAATACAAGGGATAAATATCTTTTAGAATAAGACAAAGTTTATTTGTCTACAATGTGTATTAACGTGTCAAACTAGTTAGAACAATAGTGTAATTTTATTATATTATAAAATGTGAAAAATGATTTTCTGCAGTAAATCAATCCTCTACGTGATCTTATATAGTTAGAATTGTTGCGATTCAGGAATTGTATCTTACAGTCAATGATCGAACTATTCTTCCGAGTTTTGTTTCATCCGAATAGGTGTTTTACATTAGAAGCCTGAGTGACCAGAAACGCTCTCTGAAGTTAAGGCACCATTTGGTGGTAAAATAGCCACTTTTAATCGTAAAAACGTGCCAAAACAAGGACTTTTAACCGTTAACAAGGATCCGACCTTGGATCCAAAATAAAAAGAAACTTCTCGCTTCTCAAAAGTGAGTTCGGTCCTGAGATCCAGCTTGAAACAAATCATATCCAACGTCAAATTTAGCAAGGAAAATTTTCCTTACTTATCAGAACAGGATCTGGCCCGAGATCGGGTTTGAAGCAAATGCCAGATCTTCGAGTAGGTGCAATTTTCTTACTATCTCATTCATAGGCATCCAATAATTGATAGGGTGTAATTTTATCATTTATTTTATTATTAATTTCCCCTATTACCTGACCTGACGTGGGTTAATTGTTAAATTCTATTCACTTTTAGTATTTTACATCTATTTCAGGGAATAGAACGAAAATATGATAACAAATACCAATTTAACAGAAAAAGAGTCCAGATGATAGAGCTCGTCCAAGAGGCATTTTTTAAAAAGAAGATGTTACGTCCATTTTGATAAATTCGGTCAATGAATGACGGCTGAAGGGCTTCTTCTTCCTGTTGGGAGCCCCCGGCACTTAGAGGGCTTAGTTAGTAATTAAATAGGAGAGGACTCCTTTTAGCTTTTGGGGAACTTTTCCCTTTTGACTTCTTTTTTACTTCCTACGCATGTCAAGGGAAGCGGAGCCTTTGACTTTTCCTTTCATCTTTAGTTGCTTTTTTTTTCTTTCAGTAGGAGTAGACAAAGGATGAATTAAATCTCTTTGTCTAGTCAAAGAACAACGGAGACCTTGGTCAGCCTAAAATTGTGAAATCGATTTAATTTTATCTGTTTTTTTATTTATTGGTATTCGCATATTCCCTGGTTACAGTGCTTATGATTGTTTAATTAATTGATTGTCTTGGATCCGGATAATTAGTTAATTTGATAATCTATTGTCAATTGGGACGTTAAATTCGTAATCGTTTAATTGTCTCAAACTAGTGATAACTAGCATGATTGGGTTTGTGTCAAGGGAATACGCGGGCTAACCTAAAATAACCCTGGTAGTGTGTTTTTTGGTTAGAATAGGGCTCCTCTAATACGTAAGGTAATTGAGGAATTAAATCTTACGGGCGTACCTAAAATTATTTCTCAATTAGAGTAGTGATTAACGGGCGTACCTTAATCACCGACACAGTAAGGAGGGGTTGACTGTCATTGCTTGTTTGGCAGTTATAACCAATTTATTAGTAAATAATTGGAATTGCATTTGTTTCAATGATCAATTAGTGAACCATTGCTGAAGTTATTCCTTGGCTAGATCCTTAATTATCACTTATTTGATTTTAGTAAATTGTTATTTAATTTCTAGTTGGCTATTTTATTTTTATTATTTTACTTTTAGTTGAATTGCTTAAATTGTCATCTTCTGCACAAAAACACCCCCCGGTTACTGTGAATTTGAAAAGAAACAGTTATACCCAATCCCTGTAGATTCGACCCTACTTACCACTATTTACAAAAATTAATTTTAATTGAGCAGGTTTTTATTATTGCACAGGCTGACAACCTGTCAATAATCTGGCAACGCTGCATGGTAATTTTCGTACATTGTTAGCAGCACAAACGCATCAGAAAGGACAATTAAACATAGTCACCTAGGAAAGCTTATGTGCCGTACTAATCAACTCGCCTTAGGAGAGTTAACCACTAGGTAATACATAGAGATGTAATCCTGATTTCAAGTTAGAGATTTAAACTCTTGCACTTGCAGTAATATCTAATTAATGTGTAGAAGTGGGTTTCTCTCCTTTTGAATCCCATTGGCCTAGTTGAGTTGTCCCTTTAGTGATTAGTCCCTCTGATTGAGCCCTTTTTTTCTTAATGTACAGAAATAGTGTAGATACTGACGACTAACCATATTGGTTAGGAATTAGGCAGAAAAGGAGGTCAAGAGGCCTCTGGCTTGTGAGTTGTGAAGTTGGAAACGGAACTTGACTTATTACCCATTGGAAACTCAAACAACCAATCAAAACAAGAAGTAGATACGAAAGTTTCATTCCCCGCTCGTTACCCCTTGGAAACGGAACAACTATGGGAGTTTCAAACAAATATCTATGGGAGTTTCAAACAACAAATATCTATGGAAGTTTCCAGTCTAGAGTATATAATTGTTATACATGTTGTCATGATAAAATTCCTATTATGCAATAAAAAAAAAAGGGCAAATTCCACTTTACTCCCTGTGATTTAGCGTTTTTTACATAACCCCCCTATGGTTTCAAAAGCTATATATAATCCCCTAATGGTTTGGATTAAAGTATCAAAGTGACAGTAATGATCATTCTTAGCGGAGTCACCTAAAATATCAAAAATACCCTTATGTAAAGTTGAAAATTATTTATTAACCAAGGGGGGTTATGTGTATATTTTGAAAATCATAAGGGGTTATATGGTAAAATATTAAACCATAAGGGGGCTATATAGTAAAATATAAAAATCATACGAGATTAGTGTGTCATGTATTTATAAGGGTAATTACGACATTTCTAGAAGTTTCGTTACGAATGACTATTTCCGTCACTTTGACACTTTAATCCAAACCATGAGGCAGTTATGTATAGCTTTTGAAACCATAGGGGGTTATGTAAAAAATGCTAAACTATAGGGGGTAAAATGTAATTTGTCCTAAAAAAAAGTATGAAAGTTTCCAAGTGACAAATATTAAGTTATAGACATTTTTTTACCGATTTTTTTTTTTAAACACGCGAATCTTTAAAATACATGGCATGTGCAAAAAACGATTAAAAGAGATTTGTATGTGTTTGTAATTTTTAAAATTACAGTGTCCTTAATCAAAACTCTTACTTTATTGTAAACCATGTTTTCCTTTTATTTTTTGTGTGTGCATATTCAATTGACCGAACCTTAATACCACAGTACTTTGTAAACAAATACACACAATCTTTCTATTTATATATATATATATATATATATATATATATATATATATTGAATTGTCAATTTTACCCTTATTATTAAGGGCAAAATGGTCACGGTGTAGTTACAACTTAAAACCGTATCTTCCTTTTCCCACGTTAATGTGTAGTTGCTCTGATTTGATTTCTCCATATTTGTCTAAACCTCCATATTTGTTTATCTGATGATATTTGAAATACTCTGAAACTACTATATATCTACTACAACACTTCTCACTACTCCATTGATAAATAACCATGATTTCATTTTACTTGAATAATCCTTCATTTTTTTACAAACTTTTATGTTTTTTTCTCTTTTGATATTTACACATTGTTCATATTTCTTACGGCATCATATGTTTTGCAAAGTGCACACACATCAATTGTGCCCCAATCACTAGTTATTATTATTCAAACTGGTATTGTTTACTTATCACACAACTTCTTCAACTTGTACGATAAGAATTGCTACCACTTCACGATTAATTATGAACTCAACTGAAATGCCAATACTCAATCCAAAGGAATCTTTTGCCACATGTTTTACTAAAAACTACCACTACTACTACTACTTTGTTTCTTGCCATCAAATTTTAGTTCAATAGGAGTTTTAAAACTTCCAGTTGATCAATGAATGTGGACTCCATCAGCAGAGTTATGCTACGCTTTTGTTGGAGATTTTCCAGGGTGTGTATATATATATATAAGAATCCGTTTATCCTCTTTCTTTCCTTTTCTGTTTCTTTTTTTGTTAATTTTCCACAATTGTTTGATTTTTCTTATGGTTTTCTTATATCTGTTTAACTTTTAACATATAATTAATCACTTTAAGCTTCAAATTGAAGATGTTATGATAATTAATAATAGTTAATATTGAAGTGGTAATTTTTAGGCAAAATAATAAAAAAAAATCGACCATATTTCCTTTAAGGATTGTTCTTTTATTAAATAGAATAATTTTATTTTGTTTGTGACAACATGATCTATACCCATAAAGCATAAAAAGAAAATGAAATTGAGTCTTCCATTAATGTTTTCATATATTCATAATATATGTTTCTAAACATAGTAATTAATATAACAAAGCACTTTATTAACAAATTATATATATATACTACATATATATATATATATATATCACTCATA